GGACCTGGGAGGAACCCTGGAGTCCCTCCCGCCCCGTTCCGGTCGGTTCCCCGCCCCACCGGGCTGCCCTGGCCGGTCAACTATTCCCCAGCCGCAGCCCAGGCCTCTCCTTGTACCTCTTCCTGGAGCTCGGCATTTTCCTCACCCTTGGCCTCTTCTCCATCCTTCTTATCTCTCTCCGCCGCGGTCTCTCCTGTTCCTTTTCTCACTCACTTCACCTGCTTATCTCTCGGCCTCGGCCTTTGCCTGGTTTCCCTTCCCCAACACCTTCATTACTCTTCTCTGATACTGGAGCCTCTTGACCATCCATGCCCTTCTGGCCAGGAGGCAGAGTTTCGCCCTGAGGTCTTCAAGTATCCACTGAGCTTCTGCCCAAAGCCAGGTACATAGCAGCCTGCTGGGGATAGAAGATGGTTAAGACCCAGACCTGGAGGTCAAGGGGGTGGGGTGAAGGGAATTTGACTTCTATTTAATGAACTCCTGCTAATGTGCCATGGATATTGTGCAGAATCTTATCAATGCCTCTTTCTAATGAAAGTTCCCATCCAGGGGACACTAACTGTGCTTGGAGACTGCTCTAGGCACATTTCATAAACAGCCTCATTTAATTCTCACAGCAATGCTATAAGGAGGGTAGGTACCATTATTACCAGCACTTTACAGACAAAGACACCGAAGCTGAGGTTAGGCAAGGATTAGAACGGCCATTGGATCTGGGTAGTTTGGTTTTACAGTGAGAACACAGAAACTAAAAGGTCTGGATTCTGAGGGTTCACTGTAGTGGAGATAATTGTCCCGGGGCCACACAGCTCATGTACTAAAGAAGGCAGGAATTGAATTCAGGCACTAGGCTCCAAAGAACAGAGCTTCACTATTTTGGGTTAAGATAGAGTCCAACCTGCGGCAGGAAACACTATGGGTAGGGGATAAGTGTCGTTGTCATCCAAGCAGACAGATATCAGAAAGGTAACATCTAGAGCCCTAAGCTTGCTGTCCTTTTTCGGTCTGGGTTCCGTCTTCCTTGACTTTCCTGTGAGACAAACGGGAGCAATGACTTATGGGAGGAGACTGTGAATCTATTTGACCTCTGGCTTCCCCTCTGGGGAAGAGCATCCTAAGGGAGCTTGGTTTCCGGAGTGGGGTGGGGTGGGAGGCTGGCTCTACAGTAAGGAGTGCTTCTCCCCAGGACTCCTTACCTTCTCTCTTTGCTCCCCAATATTTCTAGGGCTCCTGGCTTCCAATCAATAGGCCTGTGCAGTGGTAATGGAGAAAGGTGGCGGCCATGACTTGACTTCGTGTCCACCCAACACAGATAGAATACCTGCTTTATGCCAGATACAGGCAGGGTGCAAAAGGCTTGGTCTTGAATGTAGTTGATGTAGCTGTGAGAACAAGACACCAGGCAGAGCAGAGGAGGCAAGAAAGGACTAGGCAGACAGCCCAGGGTGGCACAGGATGCCTCTGACGTCCTGGTTGACATGGTTGAGTCCAGGTAGAGCCAGCTGGGAGTGTCCTTTCCCTTCCTTTATGCGCAACACCAAGAGGCCCCATAGGTGACCATTTAGAGGGTCGCCACAGAGCCAAGCTGTGTAGGGTAATGTGAAAGGCGCTGACTGCATCAGAAAGTTAGGTTTGAAATCTGGCCCTCCTCCCCAACTACCTAAGTAGCCTCGGAACTGAGAGTGATTCGACCTTCCGTCTCCTTCGTTATAAGGCGGGACTTTACTGAAGCTATTGTGATGGCCAAGGAGATGATGGATGGTCTCATGTAGTGCCCACATGTACAGAGCACCTGGAAATGTCCCATGTTCATGGAAACAGGGTTGTAGTGAACGTCCCCTGAGACCCCTCGGACAAGACTCTGGTTTGAACTCTGAGAATGGAACTGCTCTCTGTGACCCATAATGTGCCTCATCTCTGGGCCTGGCCATCTTGTGACCGTCTTGTATGCTGTAGGGTCGGTGTGACTGTGGACACTGACAGGGGCCTTGGGCCTCCCAGGTGGTGTGTAAGGTGTTGGCTCCTGGGCCTCTTGGTTTGGCTGGGCTGTTCTTGGCATTGCTATGGCTGACCTGGACAGAGCTGGGAATTGTTCTTGTGGCTGGTTATGTAAGGCCAGCACATGGCCAAAAAGTAAGCGTGTCTGGGTCTGGCAGCTCAGGTTCCAGTGGAACCTCCTTTACCTGCCAGCTCTGATGTGGGGAGGCCTGAGGCTCCCTGACATGCATGCATGATGACAGCAAGGGGAAGCCCTTTACAAGGGATGGAGCCAGAGTGCGCCGGGCTGCTCAAGGCTGTCTCTTTCTGTGGCCAGCCCTTCTCCTGGCTCTGTGGCTGGGCAACTGAGGCTGCTTTCTGATGTGGTGCTGCTCCTTGATGAGGTGAATCCAGGGTCTAGGCAGCTGCATCGAACACCTGGCACGCATGGCAACCGTCCTTCCTGAAATGTATACAGCCTGTCCAGGTTCATGCTACCTCAGCTGATAGAGGGGACTACTTGTTTAAAAAGAAAAAATGTGTGTAGATGTCTGTTACATCTAAGATGCTTCTAATTGTTTTTGTATGTTTTTTTTTGTTTTCTTTTTGAGACAGGACTGCTCTGTGTAGCTTTGGAGCCTGTCCTGGAACTTGCTTTGTAGAACTCACAAGGATCCACCTGTCTCTGTCTCCCAAGTGCTGGGATTAAAGGTGTGCACCATCACCATCCGGCTGCTTCTAACTATCTTTTTTTTTTATAAACTCCTACAGTTTTCTGTATTTTTACTGTTTATTTCAATGGATCTCAAAATCACAAGCCTTTTCAGAGGATGTACAAAGTCAAAATTGTACATAATTTAAGTCAATTTAAAGTACAAGATAAATCTATGGGCTTTGAGGCAATGGAATAAAGATGTTTATTAACCGCCTTCAGATTCCATATTATTATTATAATGAACATATAGCCCATATGTCATTTTTGGGGTGCTATCAATGAGGATATCCATAATTTAATGGCAAAGCCATTAAAACACTGCTTCCTTTTCCAACTACATTTCTGTGTGAGGCCAAATTTTCATCATATAGCTCAGTCAAAACACATGTGACAACAAATTGGCTGCAGACACAGTTAGAAGAGAGTCCAGCTGGCCTCTATTAGCCTGTCCATTAAGGGGATTTACAAACTATAAAACAATGCCACTCTTCCCAGGGCATTTTGTTTTTTTCCGTCTCATTTGAAAAAGCATAATTATCTTCATGGAAGTTTGTTTATGTTAACATATAATGACTTATTTATTTTTTTAAAGATTTATTTATTTATTTATTATGTATAGTGTTCTGCCTGCATGTATGCCTGCCACCACAAGAGGGAACAAGATCTCATTACAGATGGTTGTGAGCCACCATATGGTTGCTGGGAATTGAACTCAGGACATCTGGGAGAGCAGCCAGTGCTCTTAACCTCTGAGCCATCTCTCCATTCCATACAATGATTTATTGGCAGAATGAATTAATTTAATATTTTTCTTACCTTAAATTTCAAATCCTGGCCAGGTGGCAGAAGCCTTTGATCCCAGTACTCAGGAGGCAGAGGCAGACAGGCAGATCTCAGTGAGTTGGAGGCCAACCTGCTTTACAAAGCGAGTTCCAGGATAGTCAGGACTATTACACAGAGAAACACTGTCTTGAAAAACAAAAACAACAAAAAAAATTCAGATACCGTAAATCACTTTTTGGGATTCTAAAATGATTAATTGACTGATTGCAGGGCCAGTCTGGCCTTGAACTGTCCTCACAGCTAAAGAGGGTCTTGAAATTCTTGTCCTCTTGTCACCAATTCCTAAGTGATGGGTTTACACGCACATTCCGAGATCCCAAGTTTGGGATTCAGAATGTATTTCTTAGAGGGGTTCTGAGACAAAAATGTTTAAGATCTGCTAGTTACCTCATCAGTCTCTGAGAGATGTCTAAAAATCTGCTTGAGTTCTCTCTCTCTCTCTGAGACAGGATTTCTCCATGTATCCCTGGAACTCACTCTGTAGACCAAGCTGGCCTTAAACTCAGAGATTTGCCTGCCTCTGCCTCCTGAGTGCTGGGATTAAAGATGTGTCCAGTGCCCAGCTTCTTTCTGTTTTTTTTTTTTTTTTTTTTTTTTTTTTTTTTTTTTTTTGTAGTTGACTCCATTTTGCTTTACAGACACTGAAGCTATGTTGCTGGGAGCACAGAGCTTCATAATCACTGTCCTTCCTATTGGAATTGTTCTTCTACCTGTTTGGGATATTCTTGGTTCCTTGTTTGTTTGAGACAGTGTCCCATGTGTGACCCTGGCTGGCCTGTAACTCACTTTGTAGACCAGACTGAGCTCAAACTCACAGAGATCCACCTGTTTCTGCTTACTGAGTGCTGGGATTGAAGGTGTGACCTACCTGCAGGGGCTTCTTCTTCCTTTTAATGCCCGAGGAGCAATAGTTCTATGAATCAACATTCAGCTAGAACTGGAACATGTTTTGTGTGTGCCAGTGTCTCACCAAGGGACAGACAAAACTGCTCTGCTCATACCCTGCTACAAGTCCAGAAGAAAGGCCGTTTTGGGCAGTGGGAGTGATCCACATTCTCAAGTGTATAAGCCAGGCTTTCCCATATGCCCTGGGTCCCAATCTGCTCTTTCTACAATGTG